ACATATACAACATATGGTAAAGCAATCCATATATTTCTCTAAACTAATTCATCACCAGAATTTTCTCCAATACTACAATTTTTTGAACTGCAAAAACATGAAACAGATTTTTTTAATAATGTCATGTTTTAGAATTCAGTTGATGTTATTACATTTCCTGTTTTATGTCTGTATTATCATTATGAAAGACGGTACATACAGTTTCTATGTTCCTGTAGAAATATTTTGTTGACCAATGTACAAATATCTCATTTCCCGATTTGTTTTGGGGGGATAACCTACAAGTTTACATCAAAAATTGAATTTCGACTTCATTTGCCAAATAATTTTTGAAGTTAATTGTCAATTTCATGTTAGACATTGAAAACTCCTTTAATTAGGAAACATTAAAAATATCAACACTTGTAATGGTATTTCCTTAAAGGGCGTTCCCACTCTGTACTTGAATTGTATTTCATTTAATCTAGGAACATGTTAAAGTTTTGTTCCTTATTTGAAGTTTTGTTTCCTTCCTTATGATTATCTAAATGTGATATACACATCAGTTGATAATTAAACCGCACAATTTAAAAAACAAGTTGAGATCAGTACAGGAAATAACACAAAGTATTTAACATTTTCTGTTCTGATTAACTGTTTTTTTTCCATTAAATTGAAATCAGAAAAGATTTGCCCAGCAGCCACTTTGTTTTAAGCATAAAAATATTTATAGATTAAAGCCACATTTCCTGAAACTGCTCATGGAATAGTTTGTAAGAATATTTTCATTTCATTAGTTTGTTTGTGTCTGGGAACAAAACCCAGGGGTTAGCATCCATCACCTTCTCACTAGTTTGTCTTTGTCAGGGGTTAGCATCCATAACCTTCCTCACTAGTTTGTCTATGTCAGGGGTTAGCATCCATAACCTTCCTCACTAGTTTGTCTTTGTCAGGGGTTAGCACCTATAACCTTCTCACTAGTTTGTCTTTGTCAGATGTTAGAATCCATAACCTTCCTTACTAGTTTGTCTTTGTCAGGGGTTAGCATCCATAACTATCCTCACTAGTTTGTCTTTGTCAGGGGTTAGCATCCATAACCTTCCTCACTAGTTTGTCTATGTCAGGGGTTAGCATCCATAACCTTCCTCACTAGTTTGTCCTTGTCAGGGGTTAGCATCCATAACCTTCCTCACTAGTTTGTCTTTGTCAGGGGTTAGCATCCATAACCTTCCTCACTAGTTTGTCTTTGTCAGGGGTTAGCATTCATAACCTTCCTCACTAGTTTGTCCATGTCAGGGGTTAGCATCCATAACCTTCCTCACTAGTTTGTCTTTGTCAGGGGTTAGCATCCATAACCTTCCTCACTAGTTTGTCTATGTCAGGGGTTAGCATCCATAACCTTCCTCACTAGTTTGTCTTTGTCAGGGGTTAGCATTCATAACCTTCCTCACTAGTTTGTCTTTGTCAGGGGTTAGCATCCATAACCTTCCTCACTAGTTTGTCTTTGTCAGGGGTTAGCATCCATAACCTTCCTCACTAGTTTGTCTTTGTCAGGGGTTAGCATTCATAACCTTCCTCACTAGTTTGTCTTTGTCAGGGGTTAGCATCCATAACCTTTCTCACTAGTTTGTCTATGTCAGGGGTTAGCATCCATAACCTTCCTCACTAGTTTGTCTATGTCAGGGGTTAGTATCCATAACCTTCCTCACTAGTTTGTCTTTGTCAGGGGTTAGTATCCATAACCTTCCTTACTAGTTTGTCTATGTCAGGGGTTAGCATCCATAACCTTCCTCACTAGTTTGTCTATGTCAGGGGTTAGCATCCATAACCTTTCTCACTAGTTTGTCTTTGTCAGGGGTTAGCACCTATAACCTTCCTCACTAGTTTGTCTTTGTCAGATGTTAGAATCCATAACCTTCCTTACTAGTTTGTCTTTGTCAGGGGTTAGCATCCATAACTATCCTCACTAGTTTGTCTATGTCAGGTGTTAGCATCCATAACCTTCCTCACTAGTTTGTCTTTGTCAGATGTTAGAATCCATAACCTTCCTTACTAGTTTGTCTTTGTCAGGGGTTAGCATCCATAACTATCCTCACTAGTTTGTCTTTGTCAGGGGTTAGCATCCATAACCTTCCTCACTAGTTTGTCTATGTCAGGGGTTAGCATCCATAACCTTCCTCACTAGTTTGTCCTTGTCAGTGGTTAGCATCCATAACCTTCCTCACTAGTTTGTCCTTGTCAGGGGTTAGCATCCATAACCTTCCTCACTAGTTTGTCTATGTCAGGGGTTAGCATCCATAACCTTCCTCACTAGTTTGCCTATGTCAGGGGTTAGCACCTATAACCTTCCTCACTAGTTTGTCTATGTCAGGGGTTAGCATCCATAACCTTCCTCACTAGTTTGTCTATGTCAGGGGTTAGCATCCATAACCTTCCTCACTAGTTTGTCTATGTCAGGTGTTAGCATCCATAACCTTCCTCACTAGTTTGTCTATGTCAGGGGTTAGTATCCATAACCTTTCTCACTAGTTTGTCTTTGTCAGGGGTTAGCATCCATAACCTTCCTCACTAGTTTGTCTATGTCAGGGGTTAGCATCCATAACCTTCCTCACTAGTTTGTCTTTGTCAGGGGTTAGCACCTATAACCTTCTCACTAGTTTGTCTTTGTCAGATGTTAGAATCCATAACCTTCCTTACTAGTTTGTCTTTGTCAGGGGTTAGCATCCATAACTATCCTCACTAGTTTGTCCTTGTCAGGGGTTAGCATCCATAACCTTCCTCACTAGTTTGTCTATGTCAGGGGTTAGCATCCATAACCTTCCTCACTAGTTTGTCCTTGTCAGGGGTTAGCATCCATAACCTTCCTCACTAGTTTGTCTTTGTCAGGGGTTAGCATCCATAACCTTCCTCACTAGTTTGTCTTTGTCAGGGGTTAGCATTCATAACCTTCCTCACTAGTTTGTCCATGTCAGGGGTTAGCATCCATAACCTTCCTCACTAGTTTGTCTTTGTCAGGGGTTAGCATCCATAACCTTCCTCACTAGTTTGTCTATGTCAGGGGTTAGCATCCATAACCTTCCTCACTAGTTTGTCTATGTCAGGTGTTAGCATCCATAACCTTCCTCACTAGTTTGTCTATGTCAGATGTTAGCATCCATAACCTTCCTCACTAGTTTGTCTTTGTCAGGGGTTAGTATCCATAACCTTCCTCACTAGTTTGTCTATGTCAGGGGTTAGCATCCATAACCTTTCTCACTAGTTTGTCTATGTCAGGGGTTAGCATCCATAACCTTCCTCACTAGTTTGTCTATGTCAGGTGTTAGCATCCATAACCTTCCTCACTAGTTTGTCTATGTCAGGGGTTAGCATCCATAACCTTCCTCACTAGTTTGTCTTTGTCAGGGGTTAGCATCCATAACCTTCCTCACTAGTTTGTCTATGTCAGGGGTTAGCATCCATAACCTTCCTCACTAGTTTGTCTATGTCAGGTGTTAGCATCCATAACCTTCCTTACTAGTTTGTCTTTGTCAGGGGTTAGCATCCATAACCTTCCTCACTAGTTTGTCTATGTCAGGGGTTAGCATCCATAACCTTTCTCACTAGTTTGTCTTTGTCAGGGGTTAGCACCTATAACCTTCCTCACTAGTTTGTCTTTGTCAGATGTTAGAATCCATAACCTTCCTTACTAGTTTGTCTTTGTCAGGGGTTAGCATCCATAACTATCCTCACTAGTTTGTCTTTGTCAGGGGTTAGCATCCATAACCTTCCTCACTAGTTTGTCTATGTCAGGGGTTAGCATCCATAACCTTCCTCACTAGTTTGTCTTTGTCAGATGTTAGAATCCATAACCTTCCTTACTAGTTTGTCTTTGTCAGGGGTTAGCATCCATAACTATCCTCACTAGTTTGTCTTTGTCAGGGGTTAGCATCCATAACCTTCCTCACTAGTTTGTCTATGTCAGGGGTTAGCATCCATAACCTTCCTCACTAGTTTGTCCTTGTCAGGGGTTAGCATCCATAACCTTCCTCACTAGTTTGTCCTTGTCAGGGGTTAGCATCCATAACCTTCCTCACTAGTTTGTCTTTGTCAGGGGTTAGCATTCATAACCTTCCTCACTAGTTTGTCCATGTCAGGGGTTAGCATCCATAACCTTCCTCACTAGTTTGTCTTTGTCAGGGGTTAGCATTCATAACCTTCCTCACTAGTTTGTCCATGTCAGGGGTTAGCACATCCATAACCTTCCTCACTAGTTTGTCTTTGTCAGGGGTTAGCATCCATAACCTTCCTCACTAGTTTGTCTATGTCAGGGGTTAGCATCCATAACCTTCCTCACTAGTTTGTCTATGTCAGGTGTTAGCATCCATAACCTTCCTCACTAGTTTGTGTATGTCAGGGATTTGTCTGTGCCAGGGAACAGAACCAAAACATTTCCTGACTTAATTATCTGTGTCAGGGGAGAGAACCCATAACATTCCCTACTTCATGTAAATCGTCCGTGGGGACAGCACCCATAACCTTCCTTGTCTGGATGGATGTTCAATTCCAGATACTAAAGCAAAATCTGTTAAATGTTGCAGATTAGTTGTTTGGAAGTAGAGATGAATTAAAAAGATCTCAAATGTTCCCCTATATATGAAAACTCCATGTTCTTATGAGGTTTTTGACAGATGTTTTTTGACAATGATAGACACCCCACAGGAATCATGCAGCACCTGCATTAACAGAATTTTCTAATTCCCCTTCACTATACTATGTACTTGTTATTATAACGAGATAATATAACAACACTACCTGAGATGTAGAGGTACTTACAGTGTTGACAGACTTTGTTTCTTTTCTGTAATGTTATTTAGCTGTGTAAATGATACATTTTTCATTCCATCCTATGTACATATAGTCAACACATTAGAAACAGCATATAGAGTTAGATATATTTCCAGATCAACTTCACTCTGACATTCAGTATAGCTATATACAAAATCTTATTTATGTATTCCTGTATTTTTTTCTACATTTTCTAGGTCCGAGAGTTTGCTGGAATTCCACACATATTGGAGGAATCTATCACTGGAGACTTCGCCCTAATCAAGGCGTGGAAAGCTGATAAGGCTGGAAACCTCACATTTAGGTCAGTCTTAATCTTTAGTTAAGTCATATCTCAGTATCCGGCCTCTACATAGATATCTATTTACATTAACTTATTACAAAAATGATCTTGATCTACATCAAGTGTTTTCAAATATTAAATGTTATAAAAGCTTGTAACATCCAGGGTTTTCCATAAGAGCCAGTTGCTGGCCAATTTGACCGGTAACTTTGATCATTTGGCCGCCTACACCAATCCAGTTCCGTAATAATGTTCCGTACACGACTACATGTACACGGCAGGCCAGCCTCCGACTTCCATTACACAGCCTACTACTAACAAAATTATGGAAAACCCTGAACATCATATGAACTGTCAGGACAAGACTAACATTATTGGATTATAACTACAAGTTTTTAGAGATGAAAAATGGATTACTGAACACGTTCTGATTTCAAAATAACAGGAGTTGAATGTGTTTAAATTTCAAATTGAACCATAAGGGACATTTGGCTTGTAATTTGTTGCTATTTGCATATCCAATATTGGCCACAGGTGAAAATAATTTTTTTCATTTTCCAAACGAGAGGGAGTGTAATTTTGAACAGGAGATGAGGTAAATCACTCGCTAATACATGATGCAAATGATGTTTAAGGATCTAGGACAATTGCATCTTTGAGTGATAGAAATATGCACATTTACAATTACCTGACACATATCCATTGATGATGCTACACTCTATGTCAAATTATATTTACTTTGCCTGTGTAGTTGTATGCAGTTTTATCGTAATTGCTATTGTAAATGTTGTACAGAAAGACTGCTCGTAACTTTAACCCGCCAATGTGTAAGGCGGGGAAGGTGACGATTGCTGAAGTAGAGGAGATTGTAGAGGTAGGAGAGATCCCTCCGGAGGATGTCCATGTACCTCATGTCTATGTCCAGCGCGTCATCTTAGGGCCTAGCTACGAAAAAAGAATTGAGGTAAATTTATGGTGTTGCGTGTAAATATGCCACAAATATGAAAAACTATAATGTATCTTTATGTTGTGAATTAATAGTGCTTGGATACTGCATATTGAGTATGGATACAAGAAGATATATTCAGACAATGGAATAAATATGGAAATATAGCAAATGATGTTTTAATCCTACATTGTAGCTTTCTCAATTGTTGCAAGTGTGTTTAATAGTCCTTTGATTTATTGGCAGTCCTCAGGACTCGATGTTATATATGTTACAGATTCAAAAACATTTTTTTTTATCATGATTCAAAGTTAAGGTTTCAGAAAACTATTTGTTTGGAAAGCAAAGCAGCTTTATGACACCAGACCATGATTATGTTTTAAAGCTAAGGATGTATACAGAAGAATGTTGTTGAGCCATGCTATTATACTCTGTATTTACCAATTTCTGCTGTTATTTTTTATTTTAATTACTGATGTGAAATATATGTGATTATGTGTATCTCTACCTTTGATATTTTTCAGCGTTTGCGCCTCACCAAACCTAAGAGTGCTAACTTTGAGAAGAGTCCAGCTGATATTATACGAGAGAGAATTGTACGCAGAGCTGCCCTTGAATTCAAAGATGGCATGTATGGTATCCTTACAGTGTCCAAAGATTAAAATTGGAAACACTTATACAGCAAGGTGTAAGAAAATTTGAGCTTGTATGATTTTTTTTGTTTATAGATTAATGTAAAATTGACGCCTTGAGTCTGTTACTTATAACAATGTTTGCTAAATAAGGGAAAAGAAAAGCAGTTTATAATAATATGAAGTCATTATTTGTTGAAATGAAATATAATATTGTATTGAAATAAATTACAATTCAAATATATGTAACAATAAATGACATATAAACGACAGAGGAACAAACACCAGTCATCATGATACTCAAGTTTCAAAGAGATTGGTTGAAAACTGAGGGAGGAAGTCTTAGGCTACAGTTAGTGCTGAAAAGGGGAAATAACTCTTCTAAAATTACAAAATCCAAATTCCTTTTGGTATATCACACCTTCATATCATGGCATAAACTAAAGCCTACCTAAATCCAGAATGTGGCCAAAAAGAAAGTGAAAGCTCAGGACAGAAGGCAATAATACCTGTAATAATGGACAGTTACTCTCCACAAAACTGTCAAAAACTCAACATCATGCCTTGGTAATAAAGCCTACAAAGTTTCAGACAATACATTGAAAACTGAAAGAGAAGATCTCCAGACAGGTGAACGTTTAATAGCTGGCCGACAACATCCTTCCATAATTTATCCTACCTAAATGTTTGATGGGTGTATAAAACAGGTATATTTGTTAAGACCCTTGTATCACTGTTTTTCCTTAAATTGTGTCTTAGCAAACCTTGGAATTGGTATGCCAATGTTGGCAAGTAACTATATACAGGGAATTACGGTACACCTGCAGAGTGAGAACGGTATCCTTGGACTGGTGAGTGAGCTTCATCATACCTTCAGTATCTGCTCTATCTAATATTGATCCTTCATTGTATAACAGGTTTTTTTGTTTGCATAATGTAGATAGTTATATTATAAATGGCATTAAAACCTCACAATGGTTTACCTTTATATATGTTGTGTACATATACTAGATATGGCATCAGTGTTATACCAGTCAACCTGTATGTTTATGTTTTTAATATTATCAAACATAAACAATAGTTCAAATTCTCACATTAGTATAGGCTTATGTACCATGTATCGTGATGATATAATTACAGCTTTTTCTTACATAGCCTAGATATAAAGTATGCCAACCTTATAGCACATGTATATTTGTATTCAGTTTTTTCAACGGTTTTGTTGTAGGAAATATTTCTACCTTTGTGTTATTTATTTGATAACAGGGTGCTTTTCCAACAGAAGAACAGGTGGACCCTGATCTCATTAATGCTGGGAAAGAAACAGTCACCAGTATTCCTGGCAGTTCCTACTTTTCCAGCGATGAGTCTTTTGCCATGATTCGAGGGTACACTTATCTCCATTTAAAGGAGTCTACATTTTCAAGGAATTAAACAAGAAAAACCCAAGAAAAGATAGATTTAAGACTCAAGATTTCTACTTATGAAACATTTTCCCAATTTTTTTTTTTATCAAAAGTGAATTCTGATTAAGAATAGTTTACATTTTACAATACCATTTAAAGATATCAAAAAAGACTGTTAAACATGACTTAAATAAATCTTATAGAATGATGGGTCCAAAGCTGTTGAAAATGTTGATAACCTGCTGATGACATTCTCTGCTTGAATCCCGTCTGTAACAAATATTCCTGACCATGACACATCACATACCTAATCAATGTATAAATAGCTTCAAACAAATACTTTGGAGATGTGTGGCCTTTTTCTGTCACTCATCCTATTTAGATGTCAACTTGTGCAAAACATATCTCAAAACTTACATTCAGTGACGAAATATCATTGTCATAACTTGGCATATTACACAAGTGTGTATGTGAAGTATTCAATGTGTTGTAATTTTTAATCATGAAGCCACCATAAATATCCTGTACCCCAGTATTCAAACAGGGATAAATCAATTGATGGAATAATTACATGGACAAATGATATATAAATTGAAATAGGTGGAAGATCATTTCTTTATTGTGTCTTTTTAGCGGCCACATCAATATCACTATTCTAGGAGCTATGCAGGTATCACAATATGGAGATCTGGCCAACTGGATGATCCCAGTAAGTTCATCAAAATAAGGGGGAGGGGGTGTGTACAATATCTGTTGTTCCATTTGAAAATTAAGTTACTTCACAACCGATTAAAATAAATTTCTAACTATCCTATGTACCTAGTAGTGATTGAGGATAAATGTTTCTTTCTGTTGCAAGGTAAGATTTCAGAACTCTGTAGTATAAGTTATAAAATAGGGTTTTTTGAAAATACTCAACAGGTTATTTTGGCTAGTTTAGATAAAGAGTTGACTTTGGGATATCTAGTGAATTGACAATATGACCAGTTATAGAGGTAGTATGCTACGTTTCAGGGTAAGATGGTGAAAGGTATGGGAGGAGCTATGGATTTGGTATCCAGTAAGGACACTAAAGTCATCGTAACCATGGAACACACAGCTAAGGGAGGAAAGCACAAGATTCTCGCCGATTGTACCCTACCTCTAACAGGCAAGGGGTGTGTCAACACGATCATCACAGAAATGGTGGGTCATCAACCATACACTCTCAGGGTTTCAGCTGACATGATTCATACCTGGTCACTCTCATCTAAATCCTCTTTGTTATATAAAACTGATTTTTTTAGTATCAGCAGTATCTGTCACTATGTATCATTGCCATTTCAATAGTGTCCTTGATGTTAAGGCTAAATCTCTTGACCATTGATATGCACAATGCTGTGTAATCTTGGAGAGGCTGCTATATCCCAGTCAGTTAGAGCATTGACCTACAAAATTTCAGGTGAATATCCCAGGTGGCTGGTTTGTAGCTTCCTACCTGTGGCTTAAAATGCTTAATTAAACTACTTTATGATCATGTTTTAAAACAATTTTCATCATGATTGTATATGAGGAACAAATTAAAAGCTGTTACGGTAACAATTCCCCTCTTCGACATATTTTGCTGTCAGTTTTATAAGATAAACTGTTTAAAGATAAATGTGATTACTTACTGTTTATTCTGAACATTCCTAAAAGACTTCCATAAATAACCTATATTTTAAATAAGATCTCAGTTATCATGAGTCATTCATTAATCATTAGTTAGAAAGTTCCATGGAATATTGATGTATTTGCATATAACATTGACAAAATTTCGTATTTTAAATACGGGTACATTCCCATTGATTTTAATCATGTCAGTTTGAGGAAGTGCTAGAATGAGAACAAAATGATAGGTTATCTCCCCTTGAGATGCATATGGGTTGATATGAGTTACCTCCCCTTTAGACCACAAGACTAAGTAAGGTAATATCCTAATTCAGAGTTTAGGAATAAAATAAATGAGTGATTTGATGACCAGACATTACCTTCCTGCGTTACATATTGCCACTCTAAATCTGTTATTTGCTCCAGGGTGTGTTTGAGATTGACCCATATGAAGGACTGACCCTAACAGAGAAAGCTGAGGATGTTCTCCTGGAGGATATTGTGGAATTTACTGGTGCAGATTTTAAGGTAATTTCTCCTCAACTCACAATAGATTACCCTAATAATTTTAAGATACATCAATATTTTTCACCCTCTGTATTTCTTTCTGCAAAACCCTTCAGGCTGTTTTGTTTATTAATTTGATGTGATTTTGAAAATAAAGATAAATGTTCTTTATCAAGACTTGCATGAGTGATGTAAGTCTGTTGAAAAGTCATTATATTTACCCAACAAGGATATAAGTTAGATCACAGTGATTGTAATGGCATTTTTGATAATGAAAGATTATGTTCTAACTGAAATGTGAACAGATAATTTTGTTTGAACTAGAACTATTTGGTTTACTGTGTGAAAAATGCAAAATCATTACAAAATGAACAAAAGAAATAAAAAGAAAAATGAAATTCATTCTTAATCATATCACATATTTAAAATTATTTTGGTGTGTTTTAGGTTGCTTCAGATTTAAAAACGATGGGACAGATAGAGCAACCATGCTGAAAGCTGTATTGTGATATTACATGTCAAAGTGTCATTGTATGAACCTTGTCCGACTGTCATTGTTAATTGCTGATCTGTAAGATTTTACATAGAAGGTTTGTGATAGTGTAATGATCTAACTGAACATGGATGTCAAAAAGTGAGATGTTTTGGTTTGTTTCAGCACAGTTTTGTCCTCGTAATTACATTTTCGGGCATTAGCATTTCTGAAAGCTTTCATTTGGAGTTGGCAGATATTATCAGATCTTGGAAATAATATTGCCTACATATTGAAAAAATTTGTCCTAATAGTATGTATATATATCGGTAATATAAATATTTCTGATATTAATTTTGTCTACCAGTTTTGTTTTTGCTGGAACATTCTAGGATACCGTAATCTGTGTTATGTTTTATTTTCTTACATAAAACTGTTGACCTGTGTACTTTTGATGTTTTACTTTACTTGAAAAAGTAAACGAGACATTTTGGAGGGAGTTATGTATGAATATCATAATCATGGAAACTGATTGTAAGCATCAGTGATTAGAAAGTGTTATTGAAATCACAAGTAAAATGCTTACTTGTATTGCTAATGATAAAGGTAAAAAATTTATATACCTTACTAGTGCTGGAAACTAGAAGTTTGCTTTTCTTCAACATATTTTCATTTTCAATTTTCTTGTCTATTCTGAATGTTTAAAATTAAGAACAAATTGTGTTTATGCTTGTTTATTTCTTCCTATTTTTTTAACCAGCATTTGGCAATTATACGTTTATTTTTTTTTCAGAGAATCTTTACCTTTGATATGCAACTTATTTAAGATTTTTCTCATTATTAAACAGACATTACTATATAAAACAGGAGAGACTGATTAACAGAGATGTTGAAAATGTTTTAATGGTAGTGGAACTGTAGGGAACAGAAATATGAAAGGAGTAAACATTAGCCTCCATCACAAGTTTTATATGAGAAGTTTCGGGAATCATGTAAATCTCATCTGATGTATTTATGAAGGAATGGACTTTTCAAAGCATTTAACATTAACTTTGTGTTTGACCCCTGATATTTTCTTTACATATAATGCTTAAAATATTATCTTCAGTAGAGGATTGTTTGGCACCATCATGGTTAACAAGCAATAGCAATGAGCTGTCCATTATGTGGTCAACAATTGACCTGCCTTGTAAACTAAGCTGATGAAGAAAAGTGTAGAGGACATGTGCTTCTATATTCAAGTCTCTTGTAAATATTTGCACATGCAGTTGATATGTTTTCATGTGAACATCAAGTCTTGTTGATGTTGAAGTACTTGTCCTGGTGTTTTGTATAGCACTATATACAACAGTAAATTCTATTTAGACCATGCTCTCTTCTTTAAAAGATCAGATGACTTTAAGACACTGGTAAAAGTTTATCTTTTACATGTAAGAGCAATGTTTGGTGAAATGAAATGGTCAGGAGAAAATGATTCTTACTGAAAAAACAAGACACAACTTCAACATGTCGATGTATTTGTGGACAATGAAAGCCGTGTCAATAACATTGCTTTAAGTTATACTATTGTGTATTCTAATGCTTTTATGGATTCTTTCATCATTGAAAAAATTATGGAACCAGAAAATTGGAGTTTTGATATTTTTGTCAATTAAGCAACTATGTTATTGTTTGAATGTCAATATATACGAGCGTGAAATATATTTTGTGTATATGTGTTGATTGCCATGGTTACTTATAAGAAGTGTTGCAGGTTTTAAAAAAACTACATGTAAGCAAGAGAATATGCAGTGAAACACGTTCAGGATAAATCTGATGAGATGAAAGGAATCTTACTGAAGATGATTAGGATAATTCATTGCTAAGCTGTTGACTATGGCAGAACTCTCTGAATTTTCAGTAAATGTACTCATGATGAATGTGTTTTTGTCAATATCTCTTGTAATAGTATATATATTGGCAGGTGGTATTTTACCTGTAAATAGTTTCCATTCATGTGTAAGCAGAGTGAAAGGGTTAAGAAATAAATTTGCGTATTTTCGATGTTTGTCCTTTTCCTTGAATCCGTTCCCTTTTGTGTGTCCTTAAATTCAGTAGCAGGAATACAGATATACCTGTCATGGACTGGGTTGATGTTGTATCTGGTTTCATCTTGTATGTTCAAGTGAGTGTAAATCAATACAAACTATAATTTCTGTAAGTACTGTTCACACATCCAATGATTACCAAACTATATGTTGTCAAACACCCTGGCCTGTAAGTCGTAGTAAATGTGAAATGTTAAAAAAGTCTTACCTTGACCAAAATCTGGATCCTTTGTTTCCAATTTCAATCTCATGGCGCAGAATGTTGACCTCTTTTGTTTTGAAGGTTAAGGAATCCACTTATCAGTCTGTAGCTATACAAGATTGCCAAGACACCTTATAATTCTTAAAACTTTTATTTTCCACCCAATTGCAATTATTATTTTGATTGTCAAGAGCCATACGTGTTTATAATTACCTTTTATAAATTGATCATTTAGTAAAAGTCCTTTTTGTGAAAATCCTTGTACCTACAACTTACCAAAATCCATTTATTAAAAATATTTAAAATGTTGTTTTATGTCGGAATACAAGACAATATGTTAGGTATAAACATTACATAATGCCTACAAAGCATGGAAAACATCTATTCAAAAAGTAAAAAGCAAAAAGCCAAAAGCTCACCTTGACCATGTTGTGGCTTGATATAAACAATTAATCACTGATATGTTATAGCCATGTATACTTCATGTTTCCATGGTTGGCCGCATAGTCAACAGAAATGTAATAAATTAAGTGTATCCACGATACACACTATCAATATACATCGAAAGCTTGATGGGCGATTGGCGGTCTGTAATACTACCTTATTTTCTTTCCTTTCGCTCGGTCACAAATGATCTTGGCTTACTCCTTGCTGATTTTAATTTGTATTATTGATGAATATTTAGTTTTCTTTGTGGCCAAAAAAGGCTTTAGATGCATCTCTATCAAGTAATGGTTGTGTAGATTTGGCTGTAGGATGGACCGGACTTTTTCTGAAGTTGGTGTTGGCAACCTGTATTTTATCAAAGTACACTCTGATGTATTGTATTACTGTATCGACTGCAGAATAATGCCTCATCCATCCATTTAATTCTATTTTACTTTTAAAGAAATGTCAGTTTAATAAAGCCTATTTTCAAATTTGATATCATAAATCAGGACGTAAAAGAAATCTACTTTTACCTGATATATGTAACAACATATTTTATCATTGTGATGTTATATTGTTATATACGCTATTTTCAAGAATGCTATTGTATAATATAAATATATCCGATATGAAATCGTTTTGAATTCCTCTTAACCAATAAGAAAAACCAGCCATTGTCCAGTCATGATTAAGAAATGATTAAGATATAAAATATTTTTGTTGTTATGTGAAAATGTTTTCAAAAATTAAAGATCGAAAGTAATTTTTATGAATATATATCAATCAGTATATGTAGTAATTGGCAAAAGTACCACATGTATGTAAAGGATACATAATAGTGTTCCCTAGTACTTTTCTTATTTCACTTGATAAGAAAGAAACTTATCTGAAATTCAAATCTTTTTAAGTGAATATTTCACAAAAACAACAGTACATATATCTTATTTCAAATCGACTTTATTCTGTCAACAAGAATTGAGCTGAGGTGGTTTTGGAGGAAATTCTGATGTAAATATGATTAAAGTTGATGATGTTATAGACAAAATGAAAGAAGAAAACCCTGCTTTCTTAAAAGATTTCATACTGAAAAATCGTTACCTACAGTAGTATACAGTTGTATTTGGATTGGACAACAAAACCATCTCAGTTCATTGGTCATATTGTGTTTCTTACAACGGAATAAAGGTGTCGCTGACTATCTACATGGAAATAGTATCCAGCTTGTTAACCAGAAAACCATAGGCTCAGTATATACGAATGTGATTAAGATATTTGTACTGGTGGTGAGAGATAGGCGAGTATTTGGTCATCAAAGTTAACAAAAGTACAGGTTTGACAAATACACATCATACATATATATGCATTATACCTTGACAAATGCACTGTGGTTATTTAAACTTAATATTTCACAATTTCGAAACGGGTCTATATATACATACATGTATATCTACAAGACAATGTATGAGACAAGAGGATTGGGCACAATATATGTATACCAGCTTGTTGACGCCCACTCCTCAGCAAATACATTTATATATTGTGACAGCATCAGCAGCAAAACAATAGCCCTACTTCAGGAGAGAAAGAGAAACAAAAAGACAAAGAAAGTGCAAGGAAGACGGATATACCTGAATACTTTCCTTTTTCATGTCAGAATAGCACATTGTTATTATACACGTGAGTTTATGTCTGTTTCCTAACTGCATCACGTGATCAAAGTTCATAAGGTACACACACTTCTGAAATTCTTTTCTGTTGTTCAGTCCAGCATCCTGGAGGATTCGTTTCATTCTACCATTCTTTCTAGTATTCATAAAATAACAGAATACAAGATATTTATTGCAGCAGAACAAAAAAACAAAAAAAACCACAAAAAATGGTGGTGCTAGAGGTTGTTGTTATGAGTTTAAAGGGATATGTCAGTTCACACTTGCTTACAACGTGGATGGGCATCTGCAAAGATCTTTTCATGATCAAAGACTTGGTACTTCCCATCGAAGCCAAGATGGCATGATCGGTCGAAGAAAACGCTGATCAGCAATTTGTTGCCCGATAGGTATTTAGACCTATATCCAGACAAAAGTGTCACAAGCCTTGAAGAAAGGTTTCAATGCTGCTGCTTAAAGACAGGTGCAGTTGCATTGTCACCCGAAGCTGATCAGAATCCAACAGTTATCGACAGGAATTGTGGAGCAGTTTCAGAACAAGTTTGATTATTTCATCTCGTCATATATATGTTTTCTTTTTCAGAGGTGGTGCATTAATTGTCACCAAAGAGGTCGTGTCTCAGAGGGTTGTATCTTTACTGGATATTAAGAAAGGCAACTTGCTTGAAGTTAATTTTAAAAACTGACCAAAATGGCGGTGGCTGTATAGCATATGTTCCACGTATCAAAGGGCTTTGTTGGCCCGTACAACATCTCGAACAATACATTACAATAAGGCATGGGGGACCCTGGCATTCTCACTTGTTCAGATATCAGTTTGCCGCAGTTCTGAAGAAAGTTTTAGTTTTCCCATGTTTAGATGAAAGGTATGGATTATTCATTCCGAATAGAGGTGGCAAGTAGGAGCTAATTCTAGATGTTTTCAATCATTGCATTCGAATACCAGAGAAATGTTTGTTACAGCTTGTTTTGTAAGGTATGCGATTAGCTTTAGAGCACTGGCTTCCCCTTGCTCTAGATTTCATTACCTCCACTACATTATGCCACTTGTCGGCCCACAATTTCAGAGAACCCTCGTCAAAGTACACACGAGCCTGTTTTCACGCTGCAAATAGACCAAGCGGTCAACACATGAAATTTCATTGGAGAAATTGCACGGATGGTGGAGGGGACAACGTGAAATAAAGAGGGATTCTATGCTTTCACTGGCACAGGATAAATGTACAGCCAGTGCACATGGGAATCCTCCATTTTGATTCTACACGGTGGGGCATATCACTTAGTTTAGATGGGGTCTCTCAATTTAAGAGATCACATCTGAATGGGTCACATAATTATCGTTTGGTAACGGATGCTTCAACCTCAACGATGGCAAGGTACAGAGGATGTCCTGGCAGCGTAAGAGTGAATAGGGGCGTAGTTGGGAAGGTGCTGGAATCGGGGATTATACATTTCATTCGATCAATTTTGGGCTTTCCTCAGTCGTCCTCTAGTTTTAACATTTAGGCCCTTAGCAGCACTAACGAGTATTAGAAGGACGAAACAGCTGTAGGATGCAATTTGATTATTTGATAATTACAACAAGCACCTTAATAGCGTAAGTAATTATATGTTGAAAGAGTAGGTATAGGGTGGATGGGGGTAGGGGTGGTGAGGGGGGTCTGAAAGTTTTATATAGGATAGTATTCAGAACTAAATCATTGATAACTGAAAAAGATGTCGTCCTTGAACGAAATAACGGGGACACAAAAAAGAGATGTATTTCCACAACTACATTCTGATTATCCGATGAAGTTTGTTCTGAAAAGATTAAAGTTTAAGGACTGCAACCATCTTAACGTCTTAGGTAAAATTCTGAGTTTATGGTAACTTGTCCTTTATCAGATAATTGATTACTGCCTTATAAGGAGAGACGAATAGTGCAGATCCTGCGTCAGTGTCTTATTACAAGGCAGAATAGCTGATGGTAAAAAAGAGGAATTTTGTATTGGAAAAAAGACACATAATTCATAGCGATGAAATCGGTTCTATCTATAAGTAGGTCAGGATTGTTACATTTATTTTTTTCACTTTGTATGACAGCTGAACTTTTCTGGTTTGCTTTCTTTTTGTTTTGTTTTCCCTGATAAGTGTTCCAAACCAGTTTTTATTTCAAACCTGTTATATAAAGCAAAATTATTGATATATATATATATATAGAAAATGTTTTGACCGTGATTACTAGAACATATACCTAGAAATTCAAATTGAACTATTGCATATATACACAGAGTACAAAGAATAAATAATATACATAAAAAAATACCGATATACTCTTTCACTTCACGTGTGTATATTGTAAGAAAGTTTGATTAAAATTATGTCTTACGTTCAAACAATTTGAACCCTCGTACACCTCCAATAATATAATCATGGGCTTATCTAGTATTTCAAATGAATTGAGAGTGCTGTTTGATCGATAACCCAAATAGACATGTTGGAGGTATCTGTTAAAGCAACATGAAAAGTTCCAACTTTGTTCTTATCACAACTTTGATCAAGCTAATCATTTCAAACCTGCAGTCTATAGTTTTTAGGTTCATGTGTGTAAAAACGTCAATAGAGTTAAAAAGACAAGTTAGAAATGAACAAAATGGGATTTTACGGAGCGTTAAAT